GATGCCCCCTCGAGACCCATAAATAACCTGGCCTGCTGGACGGGTCATGAGTTGTGGTTCATTCATATGCTGATATCTTTTGAGTGTCTCACATCTGTTACTAATGACAACAAAGAGATGATTAAATATAAAATAAGTTGCTATTGTATCATTTAAAATTACTCCATCTCTCTCCCATATTTTCTTGTATTTCTGAGAAAAATTAGCTAGGAAAAGATCTACTCCGATGCCACATTTGGGAAGCCCTCTCTTCTACTGTCTGCTCTTGCTTTTAAACACTTTTGATTCCAGGAAGAAAAACTCTTCGCAGTGCTCTGTTGAGGTTTCCTTTTTTCCTCACAACTAGAAACACCAGGCGGTTTCCACAATTACTCCTAGAAAGTGGGGGAAGAGTCGTCTCATTAAACGAAAGGAATCTCACAAGCCTGAGTTTATTTCCCGTTCTTGGAGTAGATATGCAAGTCTGGGGTCCATGACTTGCATATCTAAAGATACGTGAGAATGCAGTGAGCCACACAACCTGGGGAAAGGTTATAGCATCTTGGTCCTGTGCCACCATCCCCAAGCATATTGTTAGGACTCAGAGGAAGATGAGGTTTTAGCAGTTGGCCTGCAGATATGAAAAAGGTCTCAAAGCTTATGTGGTAGTTTTCTTTCCTATGGGCACTGGCCAGAGCATTTTTTTTTTAATCTCTACGTTCATTGCCTGTTTTCCATCTTGGGTTCTTGGTTATGCATATTAGCCAACTTTGTGCTTCCAGATTAAGTCCTGCCTGTCTCAGGGAATCTGAGTGGGGCCTAAAAATCACCCTGGCTGGAAAATGACTAGAGGCTTCCTTTCCAACAGCCACAGTTCCAGGATACACCTGCCCACCATCTGCAGATGACTGCGTCCTGCCCTCTGCCCATCTGCTGGCTGACTTTCCACACTCCGGTGACTCTGGCCACACTATCTTCTGGCAGCTTTTCCTCCCAGTCGCTCACTCTAGCTTCCGTGCTAACGACTTCCTCGCTCTCTTCTCTCCCCTTGAAGTGATTTCATTTCTTTTTCTGTCTTCCAGAGCTCATGTTCAGTTAGCCTTCAGTCTTTCCAAATCACATGTTGCTGCCTTCATTTTGCTTTTGTGTTGCTTATGTTTCAAAATGCTATTTATTAAGTTCATAATATCTATAAATGAGTTCTGTGTTGTACGTTTGCCTAAAGTCTGCTTCTTTACTGTATTTTGTTATTTTGGCTAATATCTAATTAGCATAACCTCTACTACTGTACTATAATTCCTAGACAGAAAAATCTATCATGCATTTTATTTCTGGCTATTAGTAGACACTTTTGTTTTCTAGTTAATGGATTTTCAACCTAGCAATATTGACATTTTAGGCTAAATAATTCTTTGTGGAGTAGGCTGTGGTGACTCCTGTCTTCTGACTTCTACTCACTGTGTGCCAATAGTGTGCCAATAGTGTGCCAATAGTGTGCCAATGCCTCTGTCATTTGTGACATGGCCAGACAATACCTCCATGATGGAGCAGGAACAATGTAGAATGTAGGCATGTGTCAGAACCAGTTTTGGGATAAACTTCATGATGATTTTGTCTTGGAGACAGTGTAGCACAGAGGTCATCTGCTCAGACCTCTGGGTCAGGTTCTGTTGGAATGCTGAAGTTGCATATCGACCCATTTGGAAAGTTTCTTTGGCTCTTTGTGTCTCAGGTTTTTCACCGATGAAAATGGAGAATTGATATGCCCCAATATCTAAGAGTAGAGATACTTTGATGTGAAAAAATGTTTAGCACTTCTGTGCATTAGTAATACCAGAAAGAATTAGATTTATTTACATTAAGACTTATACTAAACTGATTACTTTTGATAGAGAGATATTATCTTTCAACTGAGAAGGCAAATGATTTACACATCAATTGGCAGTATTTGAAACCGTTACTCAACTACAATTTTATTCAGTTGAACAAATAATCTTCAGAGGATCCTATTTCACATAACACCACTTACTAGAGAAGAAAGTCAAGAGAATGCTCAAGGACAATCTATGAGTAACTTAAACTGAGGCTAAAATAGTGAGTTACAAGCTATGCATTGCTGACTGTAGGGCCCTGTCCCCCCTTACTCCCTGGGGTGTGTCTCTGAGGACAGTTCTGGCCAGCCAGCTAAAGCTTCCTGCTAATTCTTGTGCTCACTCTGCTAGCCTGGTGAATTAGCCTAGGGCTTTGTTTTATCTTTGGTATGGCAATTTCCCACCTGCCCGGGAGAATCACACGGTGCCAAGGTCCCTCTCCACTGTCTGTCCCACTGTCTGTCGCTGCTCTCCGCCCCTGCCTGGGAAGATACCCACACAACGCCAGTTCCCCTCGTTCCCCTGGCTGGGTGGGAATTCCTTTACTGGGGCAAAGGTATATTAACTTTGCAGAAAGCTAAATAAAGTGGCATTCGGTGATCTCTTGTCGAATGACCCAAGTCTCTTTGTATGTGTGTGTCTTTTGTTCAATCCCCAGGCCCTTGCCCCAAGTTCGTGATTGGTACGGTATGGAAGGCGCGCAAACCTTACCGGGAGAGGGAGATGCAGAACCGGGTGCTTACAGCTGATGACAAAGGCATCTCTGAGAGCCTTACATTGAGACAAAATCCTAATTAACAACCTTCTTCGAGTGCTGTTTACCCACGGATGATGCTAACCCAGATTAAACTCTGGTCATTGCTTTGGAAAGAAGAACAAGTTTGAGAGACTATTTTCTTCCTCTGAAATGATTGGCTGGAACATGAAAACAAGTCAAAGAATTCTTGCAAGTGACAAATATATTCAAGGCTGTACTCAAAAGCATCATACCTCTTAATCGTCTCAAGTTTGACTCTCTAGCCCATCTATACTGACACATTGTTTAGGTGACAGGGCTGGAATTCTTGTCTCTAAGCTGTAAGCTGCTCTCATAGCCACTGGAACACATTGGACATGGAACTTGGTAAGAACTCAGAACTTTGGATAGCTCTTCTGGTCAGTTATAGGCTAATCCTATGTAGGCTATCCAAATGTGAAATGTGTCTTAGCAACTGTCTTGTTCATATTTCTTTCTAACTTTGAAAATGTTGACAGCTTCAATTCTTTAAAAATGTGACTAGGCATATTGTAGAATATTAAGAAACTAGAACAAAACGAAGGGAAAAGACCAAGATCAACCATAATCTGACAACCTAAGATTGACATTTAGCTCTGAAAACAGCACGCCCCACACACTGAGCTCTTAATGCAGAACTCATTGTCATCTTTCACATATTACTGTGTGTTTAGTAACATCCTTTCTTATTTTTGGAACTTGCAGGTTGCATCATGATGTCATCATATCCCAAGGTTTCCAAAATACCTTATATTTTTACATATCCAAAGATGTCATCTTGGGTCATGATATACATTTGTGCAAAGGCTGAGGCTGAGCAGAGGTCTTCATCTTCCTGTCGATAAGGGAAGAGATGGAGCATGACCCAGGGCCTGTTAGGCCTCCACTTTAGGTCAAGAGAGGCAAAGTATGCCCACCTGTGGGCAAGACAGAGCAGGTCGGTGTGTGAGAGGGCAGAGCAGGTACTACACGTGGCAACACTGGATCTTTGAGCTTACCTTTCCTTTGGGGGACCATGGATCTCCTGGAGACTTCTGACCTGGTATACTCCAGAATGATCTAGTACCCAGAATGATCTAGTATCTCCAAATGGGTGCATTTGGAGATAAAGCCCTTCCCTGAATATTCTACCTTTTGCTGTCACTCTTGAAACCTTTAAACTGCTAACAGAAGACACATTGAATTCTAGAAGCTGGATGCGACTTTGCAGCCACCAGCACATGACTTCCAGGGGAGCAGAACTGGGGACACGACACGCTAGCCCTTGTTTGACGCATACCATGGGGTGGAATTCTTTATATTTTTTTCTTTGAGTAGCAACTGGATTTCAGGAAATTCTTTTGGAAGAATAGCTATTTGGCAGAATAAATGCCTAAAACACACGAGAAGGCCACGGGCACAGCACTGGATATTAACATCACTTGGTTTGCCACAGTCTTCTTCCCTGGCTCTTCACACTCCTTGTTCACATTCCGTCTCCTTCTCCCTCACTGGGACCCTCAGTTTCCATCTCTATAGGAAACACCAGCATCCGATAACAGGTTATCTCACCAGCTTCCCCGCCCTTGCTCACTTCAATTCCCGATTTTAAGAACTTCAGTTAGGGTCATGCATGGGGTTCTGATGTCTTCACAGGAAAGAGTTCTTTTTGTTTTTGTCCCCCAATTTAATTCTAAAAACTACAAAAAGAAGAAAGGTCACTTCTTCACACAAACACTAAATTTCAGTGTGAAACCAATTGAGACACACAGAGAAACATCTCAAAGTTCGAGAAGGTTAAAGCAATTTGTGCTTTAATTATCCTCCGCATTCTGGCGCTTTGGTTGAGACAGAACATTACCTTAATCTCTCACTGTCTTTGACCAGTAAATTACTTTAGAGATAATGTTAGTTCAGGTCCTCTCTTAGTCTAATATTTTATATATTTTGAAATAAGTACATTTAAAATTACTTTGGCATTTGGGTCATCATTGAATTAAATAAATGCAATAATACTCTTAAATCTACTTAAAATATACATAAACAAAGATTCTCTTATTTCAATTTTTTTATTTTAAATAGGTGACAAGCATAAAACAATCTCCAACATGTACATGTAGTTATTTATTTAGTTATCATAAAGCAAGGGTAAAGCCATTTGAAATCTTATCAACTTGGAAATGGATCTTGGAAACAGGTCTTGTTTTTATATTGATTTTTAAAAACAATATTTTTATTAATTCTTTGAGAATTTCATATAATATATTTTGACATATTCATCTCTTATTCCCCCTCTGCCACTCCCAGATCCTCCTTACCTCCCATCCCCTCCCAAATTTATGTCCTCTTTTATAAAATCATTCATTATTTTAAGGCTTGCTATAAAGAAATGTCAGTGTCAAATATAGTCACAAAGTCCCTTAGTCACTCACATTTAGAAAGCTCTCTATTTGGTTTTCTGAAGTTTTGTCAACAAGGGAAGCTCTCACTGGGTGGATTCGAGAGTTTATTGGCTCACATTTGCACATACTGCTGTAGTTACTTTCTGGTTTCCACTGCAGGAAGGCTCTGTCGCCATTTTCCTCCTCAGGGCACGCTGGCTGCAGAAACATCTCTTTGCCACCTTTGTCTGCTCTCTGAAGGAGCCAGTCTAACACCGTCAGACCAATTACTTGGAATAATTCAAATGCAACTTGCTATTTAAAATAGGAGGTACTTTTGTGTTGTCTTACACATCTAATAACAGATGTGTATCCTTTTGTACATTTGCGTGTGGCATTTCTGCGTGTGAGCTTTCTTAGTGTGGAAAAAGTGCCTGCACCACTAACAGGGAACTGTGTGTTGCCCGTCTGGCAAGGAAGGAGAGGGGTAGCGGGGTAGGATTTGCTGGCCTTTTAATTATTTAAAAGAGGAAACTGGATTCAGTTGTTAGGATGATAAGGAAACTTGGATTTCATGGAGAATAGCAGAAGCCTTTCAATGATAACATTGTGAACAAAATATAACAGAATCGAAAAAGTCAGTCTTAATGGACAGCACATGAACTCAACTGGAATTTTGGAGCAAAGCTTTTAGTCAAGTGGTTACAAAAATTTTCACCAACCCAAAATCAAGCATACAAGGAAATGTGTTCTTCACCTTCAGTTACTAATGAACAGAGGTGCCCCTCCCACCCCACCCCCATCGTGAATTACTGAAGCTTACAATGGTGACATTTTCTCTTATATTGTACAACTCAGGAAGGTACGCAGTGTACTGATATGTCTGATTCTTGTACTACTTTTTCCATTGACTGCAGTCTCATGTTTCTCTGAGGTCTTTCAGACACTGGCATGCTCTTCTTGAATAACGCTCTGTGGAAGAATGGGGCAGGTACAAAACAGTCAAACAGGACACAGTTATATTTGCAACACCATGAGATCGTTGCATCAAATAGATGCCAGGATGCTGCATTCTTGGAGGAGTCTTTGAAGATAATTGTTATAAAATAACCTTCGTTTAGCGATTTTGGAGGGTTTGTTTATTGGTTTGTTTATTTATTTTATTTTTTTAAATTTTTTTCAAAGTTTATTAAAATATAAAAGTTTCCATTTTCGCCCCTCCTCCCAACACCCTTCCACTCCCCCCACTCCCTCTCCTCTTCCCTCTCCATCCCTAAGAGCAGTCAGGGTTTCCTGCCCTGTGGGTAGTTCAAGTTCCTCCCTGCTCCCTCCAGGACCAGGAAGGTGAGTATCTAATCAGACTGGATCCCCAAAAATCCAGAATATGCAGAGGAAACAAGTCCCAGAGTCATTGTCAATGGCTTTTTAGAAAGACTTCGGGCCAGCCACATTCAGAGAATCCAGCCTCCTCCAGAGAATCTGGTTGGATCAAGCGCTCCTTCAGTTACAGTCAACTGGCCTTGGTGAACTCTCATTAGATCAGTCGCCTTGTTTATTTTAGAAAGGCACAGGTTTTTTTCTTTTGAAAATCTATTTTGGAAATCTCAGGTGAGAAACACACACAGTTCTGCTCCTCCCTTCCCCAGAGGTGAGAAACCACAGAAAGTGGGTAGAGGCAGGGCCTAGAGCCAAGGCAGTAACACAGTGAGTTGATTTGCATACACACAGTCAAGGCTCCCAGTTTGTGAGGTCTTTCTTAGGAAGAAAGCCCTTTAAGATGAACCTGCACGGAGCTTACTGCACATTCCTCTGACTGCTAGGAGGGAGGCCCAGGCAGCTCACTGCTTGCATCCCACAGCCCTACCTACAGACTTACCTTCTTGACTGGAAGATCGGACTCAGGTTATGTCAGGTCTCAGAGGACATATAAAAGGGACAGAGAGAGCATCATCTGCCCTGATAGCATTTCCCAGTCTTTCTGTGTTTGACTGCTCAGGGCGGTATCTCAGATATTCCCAGTGAAATACAGGCTGGCAGGGTCACGTGAGGAATCCACAACGGGCAGTTAGCTCCAAGTCACTTCCACAATTTCCCACCAAGCACAAGTCATGACCAAGTACAAGGAGGCTACAGCACTCTCTTCCTTGGTCACTCCTCAAGATGCCTGGTTTCTATGGAGACCACAGAGCATCCTGACCTTTTAGGATTTCAGCATCAGTTTGGAATGGTATTTCGTAAAATAAGGACTAAAGCATTTTTAATAAATTTTGTGTTTTCTCACGTCTCTTAAGGGATGCATTTGAACTCTGGGACTCATTTCACTCACAAACATACCCTGAATATGAAAAATTAGCCTAAAATTTGGTTCACCTGTTATGAATGTTAATAATTATGGGAAAAGCTTCAATTGATTTTGAGATTCTAGCTCATTGTTCTTGACCGACTTCTCCCCCAACACATACTGTAGGTACATAGGTTTTCCATTTTTTTTGAGGTGTTATGTAGGGCTGTTTTGTTTTTTGGTTTTATTGTAGTAGCTTGAGGGTGTAGTATAGAACTGTCCTCTCCTGTTATGTTAATTTTGTCTACGGCCCAAGGGTGTAGCTCAGAGAGAACTCTACTGTTATGGTAATTTCATCTGCAAGCAAGGTTCTCGCCACAGGCAAGGTTCCCGGGTCAGCTTTTCTCTGAGCCTGAGCACGCCCACCTGGCTTCCTCTTTTCTCGGTTCAGCTGCTCTCTGACCTTGGGTGCGGCCCCCTGACTTTTCTCTTTCCTTGATCCTGATGGGGGGCTGGTGTCTTTTTGCCCCACAGTATATATACCCGACTTATGCTTAATAAAGCTGCCATTTGCCACTTGCTCTTGGGCAGATGAGCCGGTCTCTTTATATATATGTCGTCTGTTCAAACCCCTAGGACATGCGTCCATTCTCATGGGTTCGAATCAAAAAAGCACACACCTGTTTCGAGGTTCGGATGTCCACAAAAAAATACAAAAGCTTACAACATACTACTTAGGTTGGTGCTTCAGGCAAAGTTCCTTGAGAACTGTATGACGAAGCGATATCAAGGCTGCGTGAAGATACACTGTGGAGGGACCATTCAGCACCCAGACATGACGGATTGCTTCCTCACTGGTAATAGAGCCCCCTGCTCTCCTATCCCCATCTCTGGTGTTGGTAAAGTCTGCATTCTTTCCCACAGAGGGAATACAGGCACCTTGTTTCTAAGATGTAAAAATTTTCCGCTTTTGTTTTTCTGTTTAAGACAGGGTCTCTCTACATAGACCGGCTGTCCTAGAATTCACTATGTAGACTAGACTGGCCTTTACAGAGATTCACTTGCCTCTTCCTCCTGTGTGACTCTGCTTGGCTTATTTCCCACCTTTAAGGTTGCTAATAAATTTTCTTTAAAACAAACAGTGACCCTGGGGCAATATTCTTCTGAATGAACAAAACATCCCTGAAGTCTTGCATGTGTGCCCCAACTTGGCACCCGCATATGGAGGTGAAAGCAGAGGCCCAGACTTGCTGCAAGGGTACAAGGAGGTCATTTGGGAAAGGCATCTAAAGAGCTGACGCCAGCTAACATGCATGTGTGCTCCATTAGACTCTTGCTTCATAGCCCAGGCTATCCCTCCAGTCCACAATTATCCCTCCTCACCTTTCATGTGCTGGGGAAGTAAAGGGCAAGTTTCTCAAGGTTTTCCAGCTAAGGGGTGGGGTGTGGGTTTGGAAGCTGGCTGTCTCCATAACTAGAGCATAATACCCAAACCACTGTAGGGTCTCCCACATGTACTGATTTGCAGGTTGGGAACTAAGGAGTACACTAGATTCTTTTCTCTTTCATCTATAGAATTTAAAAAGCTCCCTAGGAGGGATTCCCTTTGATCTATGAGCAATTTTCACATTAAAAAGGAGTTAGCATTGGTGAATTCAGTTCGTTTCCTTCCATATGACTCAGAAAGATGGAATTCACTAATTCATTCCTTTCCCCAAACACAAAAGACAATAGAGATACTACCACTAACCTGTTCGATAGAACTTAGTGGCACATCTGTGTCTTCATCCTTGTAAGGTTGTATGTCAACTGAGCTTTTCTAGGAGCAAAACCCAAAAAAATATCACCACCATTTTTCAAATCAAAGACACCTTGAAAATAAAAATGCCTCAAATGAGAAAGCATTTTTCTACACTCCTTTACTTTGGGTTGAGTTATATAGTCTAATTCTACTGGGGAAAGTTCCTACTTCCTAAATACATATAAACATTGCTTTAAATTCTATTTTGCTTTGTTATGACAAGGCCTCACTGTGTAGCCCTGGCTGTTCTAGAATTCTCTCTGTAGAGCATGCTGGCCTCAAATTTATAGAGATCCACCTGCCTCTGCTCCCAAGTGTTGGGCTTAAAAGCATGGGCCACCATGCTCAGCTCATTAATTTAAATCTATATCTGCATTTCAGTTCAACAGAGGTCACACGATCCTGTAGATTGACTTTCCCATATTCTCTGCTCTAGCAAACAGTGAATGTGGAAATAAAAATCAAAATGGAGAGATTACGATTCCAGAGTCATGTTGCCCAAACCCAAATTCTTCTGTAGATAAAGAGAGTATAGTCTACGAATTTTGCCAACTGAACATTTCAGGGTTTGAACATTAGCTAAGATGGAATTTCATTTTCACATATTTTCTCAGAAAATGCCTTTTCTGCGATGTGTAGACTTCAGACAAAGGTGTCATCTCGTATCAGGCATACCTCATATAGCTTTCAAGCAGTCATAAATTAATATATAACTGAACTACTAATAAATAATGAAGTGTGTCACCTCTGTTGACAAAGTATTAGCTACAAAAGATACATTTACATCGAATAATGAGAATCGGTGATAGAACTGGCTGATTATGGGAGTTGTTTATAAAGTAGCTGAAGATTCAAGCAAAGAAACGGTGTAGATTTCCTGTCATTTTTAGTGTGATGGTCCTGCTACCATAGTGTGGTCACCACTCCAATTTCAGCAAAACAATACAGACAGATCGTGGTTACAGTGGAGCAGTCAGGGAAAGATTAAAAATGGAAGGTACTAAATGCCCAGCTGTCAATCTTACATGACTTGGTGCTCGGGATTTAGGACATAGCCTTACAGATCCGGTGACAGCACCATAAATGCTCACACAGAGTTTGGGTCTTAAATATCTCAGGTAGAGAACTGCATACCCTAGAAAGCTGTTGAATATGTATTTAACGAATTATAGAAATAATTCCTCAAAGAAATAGTGTTGTACATGTCTCTAAAAATTCACAGGGTGAAAATTGTGGTGTGAATTTTGAATGATTTATTTCAGAAACAGTGAGAACAGAACTAAGGAGAAGTGGGGCTGGAAGACTGCTTGGTGGTTAGGAGCAGTTAGGTACTGCTCTCGCAGAGGACACGGGTTCAGTTCCCAGAACAGTCAGTTCCAGGGGACCTGGTCACTTCCTGTCTCTTAGAGGCAATGCATAAACATGGCGTTCACAAACTCACACACACACACACACACACACACACAATTACAATATAAATCTTAAAAGAGGAAATAAATAGAAGTTTTAGATGTATCTAAGTATGGCATATTGTCTTAAGTATTTTATTCGTAAATTAAATACAAGTAGAAATTTGACTAGCTCATCTATATACATCAACATATACTAAATTGTATTTGGCAAGAACTTTGTGCAACCTTTCAATGAGGACATGGTGAAGAGATTTATATTCGGGCGTTGCCTTAAATTTGGCAAATGCAAAACCAGCTCAGTTGAGGATTCCCTGTCTTTATGTGTCCAGTTAAAAAGGATGGAGTTCTACAAAATTTTGCCCCTCTTTGTGTTCAACTGTACTCAGAAGAATATGCCACCCAAACTTCTTCACACTGATACTTAAAGCAAAATGGACCACTGAACCCTTACCTTTGTTATTAGACTGATTAAGTAATAAATGAGAAGAATAGTTCCGACGATACCAGCGATCACCCCCAAAACAATGGCGATCGTCACTACGGGAGAGGAGAGGAAGTGAAAAGGCAGCTGTGTCATTTGAGAAACCGAACAGGGTGATATGACCTTGCCTGCGTTAATACTTCATAATTTTGCTCACATTTAATCTTCAAAAGCTTTGTATTTTAACAGTAACCTTGTGGGAACCTGAAACTTTATGCTTACTCGGCCACACAGAGGATTAACATTTAATCCCACCCCTGAGTTCTGATGCCAGCTAAGTTCAGTATTCTTAATACCAGACAAGAGTTATTGCAGGCATAATACCAGACAAGAGTTCGCTGATATTCGGCATTGACTGGGAAAATCCACAAACTCTCTGATGGTTTGAACATGATGAGAGAAAACGAGGTTCTCACGTATCGAAGGGTATAAAATGGATCATAGAATCACAGGTTTGGAAGAATCACAGCTTACAAATGAGGAAATCAAGTCAAACGAGACTGAGCTACCCAGTCAGACAATGGTAAAGCAGAACTGGTCATCTGTGTTCTAAGCATTGCCTTGTTATGGCCCACTTCCTACACGCTCATGGATACAATGACAAATACTTCTGTGAACTTTTGCAGATTGGGAACGAAGCAACTTAAAACTAGTAAGTTGGAGGGACTTCCCATTTGTCCAGACTTATAGTGCTGATCAAAGAAGCAAACAGGACTGAGGGCGAGACATACAGATAAAATACTCACTCATTTGGCCAACTTACGTCTTAAATACAATTACTTATATTATTAATAAATAAAATCATTAATTTTAAAAGAAAAAATAGCTTATAAAAGTGTAGCTTTTTCATCCACTTGTGTGCAGCCTCCTCCACCAATCAGCTGTAACCTGTGAGTGTGTGGCAAAGTTCTACAATCTCCTTTTCTCCCACACGAAATGTGATCATTGGTCAAGTAGTAAGGAAGAGCTGAAAACTGCAGGGTGGTGAAGGAGCACACTTGTGACCTATGGCAGTCCACAGCAGCTCCAGGGGCAGCAGACGTGACGTCAGTTGAAAGGGAGGTTATAAAAATCTGGTTGAAGGTAAATTAGGACTGAGACACGGATGGTCTTAATTTATTTTTGATATGATGCCAACTAATTAGTTGGAAGAGGAATACTCAGCTTTTTTTTTTATAAATGAAGAGACTTTTATCAAATGCCCATAGTTGGTTAAAAAAAAACTAGCAGAGAAAAACAAAAGACCCAATCATGTATTGCTACTTCCAAACTTAAAAAAAGTTCTTTCTTTAAAATCAGAAATATTTGCTTTTGTCACTGAACCTAATGACATATATTCTTCTCTTTTAACATGAACCCTTGTCATTTCTTAGGTATATGAAATGAAAATGTTACAATTTAAAAATGAAATGGTTGTCATTTCATTAACACAACAACATACCTGGCTCATTAAAAGGGTGTTGCATTCTCATTCCTGAAAAATAAAGTTTTCCGAGTAAGTCAGAATAATAAATAGAATATGTCTTTACAAAAAAGTTTTGAAATTAGAGGATTTTTTCTGTGGAATAATCCCTTCTGTACACTGTGAAAATGTGTGGCTCTCATTGTTAATAAGAAGCTGATTGGCTGATGGCTAGGAAGGATTTCAGGGCAGAGAGGATGTTGGGAGGAAGAAGGGCAGAGTCAGAGGAGTAGTGAGCCAGATGCAGAAGAAACAACAGGAGAAGTTCATAGATGAAATAAAGGAGCCTCTGGCAGCGCACAGATGAACAGAAGGGGTTAAACTGCAAGCTCTATCTAGTGTCAAGCCTAAGCTATCGGCCAACATTTATAATTAATATTAGTCTCTGTGTGGATATTTGGGGGTGACTGCCGAGAAGCAGAAAAGATCTGCCTATAGAGTTCCATTTTTTGTTTTGAGTTTATAATTGAATTGTATTTCTCCTTTCCCTTTTCTCCCTCCAAAATCTCCCACGGACCCTTCGTCACTGCCCTTCAAATTCATGATCTCTTTAAAAACAAACTGTTATTGCATGCACATATGTGTATGCATATACAAATATATTTGCAAATATCAACTGCTAAATGTTCAGTCTATATAATTCTGCAGGTGTACATGTTTTCAGTGAACCACAGGCAACTGAGGAATGCTGGGAATGGGAGGGATGGCCTTCCCTAGGGAAGAGCTCACCAATTGGTTGTCCAGGGCCAAAAGGATTTCTTATTCTTAAACCATTTTAGGGGGGGGTTATTGGTCACCTTCCAACCTTCCAAACGTTAAAGTGCTTGTGTTGGTTCTAATGCGTGTTTGAACACTTGGTTCTCCAGCTAGTGGAAGTCTCTGCGGAGGCTATGGGAGGCGCAGCCTAGAGGGAAGAAGCATACCGCTGGTGTCAGGCTGTGGAAGCTGCAGCCTTGCCTCCCTTCCTAGTGGCTCGCTCTGCTTTGTATTTGCAGCTGCAGGTGTGACTTCTCCATGCTCCCCTCCTCATGGACTCTCCCCTGGAATCACGAGCCAAGAGAGCTCTCCCATAAACTGCTTTTGGTCCTGGTCCTGTTTCAGCAGCAGAAAAGTACCTAACGCAGCGTATTAAGAAACATACCATTCTTACTTCTAGGAATTTCAGTGTGGACTTTTTCACTACCCAACAAATATTCATGGGTGAGAAGTTGCCAACAAGCTCCTTAACTGGCGGGGGAGGAGGGTAAGGAAAAGTCAGAAGGACAACTGATGACTTCCATCATGGAAACGGGAAAACGGTGAGACCAGAAGAGACGCCCAGCCAACACTCCACACAAATCCAGCCTAAGGAAGCTCACATGGCTGTCAATCTAGGTTTATGCCATGGCCAGCGTCTGAATCCCAATGCTTACTGTACCTCATTTGAACGTTTGGCAGTGGTTCCACCAGACTGCCCATCTGTTAAGGTTTCTGGCTGATTCCTCAAAGCCCTAACAGAATCAATCTTTCCCCACAAGTCCACACCATAGAATTTTTTCTCTGCTGCACTTTCACCCCTAAAGCCCTCACACCCCCACAGTTGGAGCCTCCTGTTTGTATTACCAACAATGTCTCGTGGGATATGGTATCACATGGCCAAAAATTTGGATATATTTTGCTGCTCTCCAGAGCTGAGAATTCTAGAGAGTGGCAAAACATATCCAAAAAATAGAGGTTCATCAAAGTTTGTTACCTCTGTCTTCAGGACTGAGCATCTATGCTTTGGAGTCAAACATAGGATGCCTTATATGCATTCTTAAGCAGGTTACATAATTTCTCCAGGCTTTACAGTTTTTTTTCAGAGAAAATGAGAATTAAAATCTTTATGTCTTTATGTTGTTAGATTCTAATTACTGATGTATGAAAATGCCCTACCACCTTAGCTGTCCTTTATAGAGTGTATGTCATGTAATGCTGTGTCTGCCATGGGCCCAACATGTTTTCCAGCTGACATTATCATGTTGGCTCCATGTTGAAGTTAAACATCAGTGAGACTGTCAGTTAGATCCATGAGCCCAAAAAGTAGTCTAAGCACTAGGCTTAATTTTTCTCCCTTGGTTTCTGAAATCCAGTGCTTCCATTCTTCTCCATAGATACTTCTCACTAATTCCAACTCACTTACAATTCTGAAGCCATTTGGAGTCTTTTCGAGACTCTGCTTTAAATGTGGAGTACCTTCTCTAAGTCCGTCCACAGAAGACCTTCTTCTACCTTTTTCCTTTCAGAAAACTAGACAGACGGACACACACACACACACACACACACACACACACAGAGAGAGACAGAGAGAGACAGAGAGACAGAGAGAGACAGAGAGACAGAGAAAGATAGATAGATAGATAGAGAGATCGCACAAGCAACTGGGCCATAGGCTCACCCTTATCTCAACACCCAACCGATCTTGTGGCTATCAGTTTGCAGGCATTGGGGTCTGGCTGGACCTGGGCCTGCACTCTGACTTAGCTCCTATTTAATCTGTGGAGAGACACTGTGGGGCAAGTATGACTGACTGGCTTCCTTTTAAAAGTAATGGCATGGAGGTCTCTCAAGGAAATGCGTTCAAGGTCTATAGGGAACAGGGTCAGCCCAGGTGAGCTAGTTAGTTTGATTTATACTCTGTAAGGTCTCCCTCCTGGGTTCTTTCGTTGATCCACCCTCCCACTTCCAGGTCAGATTTATCATTTGGGTACCTTCCTAGCTTCAGTTTCCTTGGTTCACAGTGTTGTTTCTATGAGCTACTCCAAGAGCGGAGCCCCTGAGCAGCAGGAGCCTGGCCCCTTAGCTTGCACTTTTCAGTCTTGGTCAGTTTCCCTACAGTCACCAGTTGGATCCCACTGAGGAAATCTCCATAACTATTCAGACTCCATGTGAGTAGGTGAAAACACAACAAACCTGGTGGAGCAATGGGGGCTTCAGGAGTGACAGCTGTTTCATTGAGGGCCATATTATGTGTTCTGGCGATAATACCTGTGCAAAACAGAAATCGAGAAAGGGCATAAACATGAAGTGACTGGGTGCTCCATAAAAAACTCAGCCAAAGGCAGTTTCACCCCATGCCCTTGGTGGCAGCTTCAGAACATCTGTGCAACAGAGACACAGAGACAGGGTGAGTGTGCCTTAGTTTTCTCAGCTCTGAAGTGACCACACCTCTGGTGGTGTCTCGCAGAAAGTCACCACCAGACTTAGACTGCATAGACATTTAGGTACAGAACCAACAGCATCACAGACGGTCTAGAATTTGAGACATCATTACAGGTTGGGGGAACTACCAGTGCTTTATAGTTCATGAGAAGAAAGGGGCGGAGAAGTGGATTGACAATGAGGAAAAGGCTACAGGGACCGGCAGGCACCACACAATGTGGGCCACTGTGAATGTGGACGTTGTCCTACACTGCCGTCTGATAGGGGACAACCATTGTCAGTAGCATGCAGGTGGAGGTGGGTCAAAGAGCGTGACTGGGGAGCTGCGTGAGGGCACCCCCTCCTTGTAGTCAAGAACACTCTGAATAAGCAGCCCCCTTGCATACAAGCCGCCCTCCTCCCAGGGAGTCCTTATCACTCCTGAGCATTGCCTTAGTGAAGACCTGGCGGTTTAAATTGATCTAGGGCAAAAGCAGGCAGAGACTGTATAGAAAGAAAGCATACTGAGGATCTTCCCGGGCTCTTGTCAAGACTGATGGGTGGAAGCTCAATTCATGCGACATTCATGTGTCATCAAATGCTGTTCTTTTGCTTTCCTAAGCACTTTAAAACATAAAGTCCATAAGCTGTAGATTGTACAAAATGCACAGGCTATGTACATTTTCTCAGCCCCATATTTGTCTAATCAGCATTTTTGGTTATGGAACCCAATTATGAGGGTTCTTAGATCCCCTGAGATGATTGCATCATGCAGAAGATAGTGTATGCCTACATTAATGACCCATAATGTTGCTGATATGTTTTCAGATGGATCTGCCTCACTGTCTCCTCCCTAAATACTTTACTGCCCCCAAACTGAGGGCATCAATAGCCTATGAGGCCCCTGGAGTTTATTCAAGGCCCATATAAGTCATTGGCCATTTGGCCCATGTACAACTTTGCCCATCTCATATAGGATCCAGTAAGACACAAAGGTGACCCCTGGAATAATGGACAATTAGGTATATGACTTCCCACATGTAACAGAGGAAAAGAACAAATAAACGTGTATATAAGTCATACTTGCTACATATTTTCCATTTATCTGTTTATTTATTTACATATTTATATGTGTGTATGCTTGTTTGGGCAATGTACTACAGTGTATGTGTAGCAGTCAAAAGACAGCTTGTGGCAGTTGGTTATCTCATTCTCCTATCAAACGCAGAAAGTTAAGCTTGGCAGCAAGCACTATACTTAAAAATGATGAGGAGGGTTATTCTCATAATAGATACATTACAGAAAGACACTTAGGTAAATACGAGACATTGTAGCTCCTAAACATAGGAACATGGACTTGAACGGAAGAAGAAATTGGCATAAATATGACACTAAATTTTAACAGGTCTCTTCAGTTGTGCAGACCAAGAAAAAGAATCTGAAATACTCGCAGTCACAAATGATTACATTGTACTTGTGATTTGCTCATAAATAAACGAGCATATGCTTAGTCATCATGCCTGCTTATATTCCCACGGGAGGTCCCACTCAGTGTGTAGGCACGTTGTTCCATTGCCTGACAGAAGGCTTTTGGGATCTGCACCCAAAAGAGTAGTTCAGGAGGGAAGACCACAAAATGAAAGTCTGCAGCACTTTTTCTGGTAAGTTACAAATTGTAGTGTTGCTATTTATTGTCCTGGTGACCTCAAATCAATAGCTGTATCCGTCGTTTTGTATTTCTTATTTAATTTTTTCCATTTTAAGTATTGAATATAACCATGATGTAACTGGCCACATGAAAGAGTTGTTCTCAGACTACGAAATATAATCCATATTACAAGAGAGTAAGAAGTTAAGGTTGTCTCCTGGGTTTAGGGGTGCCGCCACTGCTGTGCTTACAGGGGAAGACAGACAGTAAACCTTCACTAAAGGCTTCATCTTATGAAAAAAGCAGAAGACACTCACAGGTGTGAGAGGAAGAGCCAAGCCTGGAATATCACTGCGTGGCAGAGAGCTACCACAGCGCATCCACTGAGCACCTAGACTGGGGTCGAGTTACCTAAAGGCAAACGAGTCCAGCTACAGACTTGGGGCACTTTGACCGGTTGTCTGCATCCTTTTACCCCTGTAAAATGAGATCAGGAACAGTGCACACATCATAGCATCACTGGCCACATTAAGTGAGTATTATGTACAGTGTTTTAACAGAATGGAAAAAAACTGATCCTGAAACACACAAGGAACGAAGAGATCCAAATAGGCAAAGCAGTGTTCAGAGACACAGTCTGAAGAGTCAAATTTCCCGAGTTCAAAATTCAAGATGAATAAAACAAAACAAAACAAAAAACAGACAAACAAATAAAAATTCCAGTGTTTGGAGTGTGGTGTTGCCCCAGGGATAGGCATAAAGATCAGTGGGAACTGAGGGTCTAGAAGTTAATTTATATCATCTGTGACTGACTGATTTTCAAAAGAGTGTGGAGGACAATCAATGAGAAAAGGTCATATTTTCAATAACTGCTGTATTCACATGCAAAAGGGTAAAGGGTCTTTTCTTATGTCACCTAAGAACATTAACTCAAGATTTATTGAAGATATATGTGTATATATAATATGTGTCTATACAATTGAACTATCATATAGAATATATATAGTATGTGTGTATACATTGAAAATATATAGAATGTGTGTGTGTGTGTGTGTGTATGTGTGTGTACATACACTGTACGTATAAAAGACTATTCCTGAAAAAAATGTAGAGATATATTTTATAACCTTGAATTAGGAAAAATGGTTCTTTGGATATAAAATCATAAACAAAAGCAATAAAATAAAAAATAGAGTTTATAAAATACATTAAAATGATGGTACCAAGGGCAAAAGGATGATCCCAGTAGGGAGGAGATATTTTCAAGCTATACGTCTGAGAAGACAACATCTAGAATATACAAAGAGTTTTTATGACTATACAACAGAAAGATTTAGACATTCCAAACATTTAAATAGACCTTCTCCTCCAAGGAATATATGACATGAACATGGGCAGCAACTGTGCTAAGAGCTGCTGGCCATCTTTAGTTACTAGGGTAATGCAAATCAGAAACCCCGTGAACTGCACGCCACACCGAGAGCATGGCTATGAGGCGGTCAGGCAAAGCAGTGTGGATTGGCATAGGACTTTCCATGTGGTGATCAACATGGAAAAGGTCATGGGTATACAAGCATCTCTCACCTTTAGAGACCTTCAGTAGTACCCTAGACCTTCAACACTGTGCATTAAATAGGCCTTCCTATTTAATTCTGCCCAACAGTTAGCCCAACTGTAGGCTAACACAAGTGCTCTGAACACACTTAGGAGAGCCTGGCCTAAGCTGGGAGCTTTAGTAGTTTAAGAGTATCAGGTTCATATTTTTCACTGTAGCATGTGGTCATTACCACATGACAAAGACCATCAGCAAATCAAAGGACGGAAATCACAGGTGTGAGCAAAGATCTAGAGAAACTGGAACCTTTACAGTCTAGGTGTACATATACATGCATATATATACATACATACATATATATACATGCACATATATACACACATGAATACATACATACACACAGTAAACAGTATAGGTCCTGTGGGGGAAAGTGTGGGGCCAACTCAGCAAACAAAAATGCAGAATCTGACTCCATAATTCTACCTCTGAATATTGAATTTTTTTGGGGCGTCTCCCCCAAAAAAGTCGCAAAAGAATAATCATAGCAGCCCAATTAACAAGAGCCCAGATGCACACATTTCTATTAAATCTCTACCAGCTGATGAGTGGATAATTTTAATGCATTTAATGGAATAACTTCCAACCACAAAAAGGAATGGATACTTCATGTTCCAATATGCACAGATATACATGCCATCCTAAGAGAAATAAGCCTCATGAATGCCACCTCTTGTATTAATCTATTTATTTGAAATATGAAAAACAAATCCATAGCAGAAGAAAGAGAGTTAGCAGTTGCCGTGGTACTGTGGGCACGGGAGAGAGACTGACTGCTAATCAACATAAGATGGCTCTTTGGAATAAGGGAAGATATTCTGAAGGCAGACAGTGGTGATGAATATACAGCACTCTGGGCAAACCAAACACTTAGGATGGCAAAAATGGTGAACATTATCCCAAGAATATTTTATGCTGGTAAAAAATGAAGCAACTTTTTTGGGGTGATGGAACATTGGTGGGGCATGAGGATACTACAGTGGAACTGTCTAGATTTGCACACCGACTTTGCCGCTCACTGACTAGAGGTAAGTTCTCAAAACATTTTAAACTCCTGTGCCTTTCATCTGCAGAGAACTTGTAGAGTAATAAGACAAGCACATGAAAGGTTTAGATTGGGGCTTGGTCAGGGTTCAGTAAGAACTCTTTACAGCGTCTCATTTTCTTGTAATGGACACACACGATATTTGAGTATATATCATACCCTCATTCAACCAGAAGCCATAGAAGCCCACCTATTTTTGAGATAGTTTCTGTGAAGTAGAAGCCTTACTTTGTGTCCGACTGCATGCCTTTGTAGCCTTGGACACAGAGTTCCAAGGGGTTCCTAACAGCACTGAGCATGCGTGATTGCTAGCTGCATGAAAACTGCTTGGAAATACTGACAAAGTGAGGTCCTGGGTGCTGGGGGCCCGGGATAGGAAAAAGGCCAAATGGACCTCAAAGTGATCTCACTTTCAGCCTGACCTGGAAGGTAGACAGCAAACAGAACCCCTTTGAATTATATCTACACACATTTCTAAGCACTAAATTTTCTTCCCCGAGGTGAGGAGTTGGTTTTCTGAATTCTGTCAGGTTCATTGCTTCAGTAGAACAGTGTCTTTGTTCTATACCACCTTAGAGGAAGCTCAGTCAGTTGCTGAATCTGAGCCTGATGTGAACACCTCAGGAGATGTCTGTGGAGGAGACAAGGGTTGGAACTCTTTTCTCAAATCTATGTCTGAGATGAGCATGGGGCAAGAAAATGGAAGGAAAGATGGGCAATGCTTTGGGGGCCATCCCCAGCTCTGAATTAGGCACTGGCCAGAGCAGCACCTCATTCTAGGGATATAAAAGAAGTCTTCAAGCAGTGTGGTGGCCTGAGGTCCTATTTATAGCAGTTTTTCTCATACTCTTAGTTACAGAAAGTGTGACTGTTTGGTACCCAGGAATGAATTCCCACCTCACAAAAGGAACAAACCTTCTGAAAACCAAAAATGAGAAGCTGCTACCCATGGTTCGCCTATGTGTTCACTCTGACTTCTTGCTCTTTCCCCCATGGTCTCCTCTGAGTGTCAGTTTCACCACAAACCTTTAAACAAATTTTAACAACCATAACACGGTGCACAGTATCGGGGTCTTCCTCCACTGACCTTAAAGCACTTCTGGCTAACACAGGCTTCCTAAGAAGCAGGGGTTGTGTTTATTCAGTTTGCTTTTCTAAATCCTTTAAACATTTCTTCGGTGCATGATATAATTGATTCTCTCTGCAGAAAACTTTCTGCTTAGTAAAAAGGCAAGGGAAAGAAATTCAGGAGACTACCCCCAGAGGGAGCCATGGGATGCTCTGGCCAATGCTTTAGTGCCAGTCCGCTGGACTCAGATGTTGCAGATGTGCCTTACTGGAGACTCAGATAAGAGGCAATGACTTGAAACCTATTATATAAAAACTCAGAACCTACCTGATACTGGCAATGATACTGAATGATCTTGGTAATGTACAGTTGAAGTTAACATGGGAATGGGCGATGGGCTATGAGAACCTATAACAAAAGACAGAGAAGTTAGTTAAAATGAGCCTCCCACAGCCCACAGGGAACTGACATCTCACCCCAGCTAAAATGGTAATTAAAAACACTTATTATTTTATTGTATAGGTGTATTTGCTTGCATCTTTATGTAGGTGTATGTGCACCTTTATGTACCTGGTGCCTGGGAGAGCCAGAAGTGGCACCAGCTCCCTTAGAACTAGAGTTACAGACAGTTGTGAGCTGCCATGTGCCTGCTGGGAACTCAGCGTTCACAAGAGCGAGAGCTCCTCACTGTGGAAATGTGGTCTACAAAAACATAGGTCCTACCCGACTCTGGCAACAGTGTCGAATGCTCTTCTTGGTGACCTAAAGTTAAAGGTGTAAGAAGGTCAGTTACAAGAGAATGGCCTGTGAAGAAAAGAAAGGGCAAGTTATTTAAAATGTGCTCTCCACAGCCTCGAGACAGCACAAAATCTGTCAGCTATTCATCTGGCAGCACACACAAAGAATTCCTGTACTTAGAAACACAAAGAAATCCTTAAAACTAGAGAAATGATCTGAACAGATACTTCTTGAAAAAAAAATCAAGGAGACCACAGGTGTGTGGAGGAGCTATCTCACTGCAGCACAGGTGTGTGGAGGAGCTATCATCTCACTCCAGCTGGGACAGCTATTCAAAAAAGAGTTATTTATTTTTAGTTTACGGGTATGAGAGTTTTCTAGCATGTCTGTTTGTGCACCTTGTGCTGGTGGAGGCCAAATGAGGCGTCAGATTCCCTAGGACTGGATCTTTAGACAGTTGTGAGCTGCCAGCCAGGTGGATGCTGGGAACTCAGGTCCTCTGTACGAGCTACAAGGGCTCTGAATCACGGAGCTAGCTTGCCAGGGTCACACTATAACCCTGACTGGCTTAAAATGTGCTGTGTAGACCAGACTGGCTTGACCTCACGGAGAGCTATCTGCCTATGGCCCTGAGTGTTGGGTTTAAAGGCATGTGCCATCCGTCATGCTAGCTGAAACAGGTACTCTTACAAAAAGAAAAAACTAACAAGTGTTGAGGACTGGGGGTAAACAAAACTCATAAAGATTTGGTAGTGACATGGATCCCTGCACGTCACTGGGAAATAGAAATATTTGGCTTAGATGAGGCCAAGGGAGGGACAATGATTTGCCTCAATGTTTTCGGACTTTTAGATTTGAACCCAGTTCTGCTGTTTTTTGCACCCGTAGTTTTAATTCCCGCCTCATCCCATCTGCTGGGGAGTCTGACTCTGCTGCATCCCACAGAAGGCTCTGCACAGCCTTTCTCAGGCCCAGTTCACAGTTAGGCCTATGGATAAAAGAGACTTCACGCAGCTGCCGGCTCCTCGTCCACCTTCTGGGCCCTTGTGCTTCTAACGCAGATTCACTGTGTTTGATAGAACATTGTTTAAAACATCCCCAGAAGGAGGCCAAAAGAAATAAGGTTCTTTTAAAAGAATTTAATAATACATGGACTTTATTTTAATGGACACACCAGTTTAGATTCACCGTGGCCATAGAGCACTTAAACCAATTAGAAAGCCTTTTTGTTCACAGTAACAGCTCCACAAAGAGAAACCCTTCATGGTTTCTGAGCTCACACTCACGCACAGCCTCTTTTCAGCAGGAGAAACTGCTTATATTACTTTTGAAAAAAAAAAAAAGACTACAACCCATCCTAACCTTCACTGCTAACGTTAGTTTGGAAGTAAGTTTCTTTATAGCCCAAACGAAGTAACGTGTTTATTTATATAAAGATAGTACTCATACTTGATACAATTTCTTTAATTCTGTCTAGTCTTAGAGTCGAAGCAAACTTCTCATACTAGGAGACTGTAATTCAGCCCCAAAGAGGGGGTTGCTTTGTGCCACTCTTGTTCCTAGCTCCCATGCCAGCCAAGTGCTAGAAAACCCACCCAGCAGACTGAAATTAATATACTACTTAATTCATTTGCTCAGTGAGGTAAGAAAACAAAAATGGGAACAATTTCAGGTTTCATAAACAAAACATCATCAAGTCGAAACTACTCACCTGCCGTGGTTGCCTCACTGGCCGTGCTCTCTTGCATGCTGGAAGTGTCGCTTAGCTAGGTCAGAAAGGCTAAACGTTATTCCCTGGCCCTGCCCTCTTGCCAGTATCTCTCAGGTCCACCTTCGCCAGGGGAGGGGGTGGGGCCCTATCAGTTGGTACACACTGGAGGGCATTTATATGATGCAAAATTATTTAGTGTCTGTTAATAAAGATAACCAGAGGGCTGCCTAACCGAGGCAGGACGTGTGTAATTAAAAAAATCTTCATTTCAAAGAATCTCCCGCTGAGTTAAGTTTACTTTATGTAAATGAAGTGGGCAAGGCGGGGTAGCTGCAGGAACCCCTCAGCTGGACAAAGAGATAAGCCGCCGCTGAGGTCCGGGTCGGTGCTAGACAGTTATAGACTACGAACGTGGAGGACCTTCTGGCTCATTAAGAACGTGACTTCTTGCGTATGAATTGAATGCCCTTGGGAACTGAAAAGCTTTCGAATTTGTGACAGTTTAAACAGTAATGAAAGAAACATGAGACAGGGGAAAACTTTCACGAAACTGGAATGCGAACTGAACTCCAGTGTTCACGTGGCTGTAGGAGCAGTTTCCTTTTAAATGCACTCAAATAACAAAAGTAAACAGTAGAAAGCAAAAGCCCAAGGCCCGCTGTAAAGCAGGTTAGGAGGAAAGGTGAGCACCAAGGAGATCCGTGCTAACAGGAAGCGGGACACGACCCGACCCGTACAAATCCCACTTGGGCTCAGGACTCAGGAGAGCAAAGATGCTTTGAAGGCAGCTCTTCCTCGGCTCTCAGGAGCCGAAGTGACCTTGAGCTAAAACAGAGTCCCATTCCTTCAGGTGTTCTTGTTGTCGTCCTGTCCTACCCAGACTAGAGAAATGCTAAACGTGGTGACTTCCCAGGGTGGAAGGTGGATGTCAGTGCAGAAATGGAGCCATATGGCGACATCTAGCGGCCGAACTGCATAATAGAAAAGAAATGTGAAAAATATAACCAGAAAAACATTACATTACACCTTCTTGGGTCTTCATAACTCAGGAGTACCATCAGACCCTGCCTATGACTTACAACACGCGCATGTGTCAGGTAAACACAACTGTCTTTTGAGTCAGTGTCTAAGAGTAAAACGCACGTGTTTGAGGTATTCAGTCCGACAGCACACTCTCCATCTGCAGTCACTTCATCTTTATCATTTCCTCCTACATGCTTTATCTGTAACTTAATGTTCTTTTTCCTAGCTTGTGAAGAAAGAAGTTTAATCATCAATTTGCATACTTTTTTCTTTTCAAATATTAATTTAATTTTACATTTTCATTAAGTAACATTTTATCTCTGCCAACACATTTCATTTTATGCTTTCATTACATCTCAATTCAAAATATTAATAAATTTCATTTATACAGTGACACATGAATTATTTAGAAGTATATTGACTGTCAAACATTTGGGATTTTTCTCTTTAATCTTGCTATTACCATTTATGTAGGAGCCCACTCCTACAAGGTCAGCTAGGGTTTCTGGATAGGGGATCCTCCAGGCCAAAGAAAAGTCAGAAGAAACAGAAGACCGTAGAGAATCGGGAGGTCTGTCTGGTCACGCCGAAACAGCCAAAGAGCCCAGAGTTTATTTCAGAACTTGCTTATAAACAAAAGCAGAACAAAGCACAGCACAGATGGTCAGTCAGTATCTAACCACAAGACCATTCCTGTCCTTGAGTGAGCAGCCTCCTCTCCAACATGTGCTCGCTGCTCGGAAGCAGCCTCACTTCTATCTTGATGATCCTGGGGTTTGTCGGTGTTGTGGGAGTAACTTCCGCTGCCTCAATCAATAGTCGCTGAAATACGAGCCCACAGTGCAGCGGGGAGCGACTTCCGCTCCGTCAGCCAATAGCTGCTGAAATACCAGCCCACTGGGGCGTGGTATATTTCTCTTTTAAAAAGAGAAGCATATCCGGAATAGGCCCTCTTGGTTCCGGCTCTTGGTTCCGGTGCTTGCTCCTGGCTCCTGCTCCCGGCTCCTGCGACTAGGCTCCCTTCCTGACGGTTTATGGTGTATGTAAGTTTTACCCCCAAAATAAATAACCCCTTAAAACATAACTGGTGTGGGATTGATTCGCCGATTTGTCGTCAGCAGTATACACTCTACTAAATAGAGTGCTCTTTTCTCACGGGCTAAATCAGAAGTCTCTCACAGCCCTTAAGGTTATGAGAAAAATTAATGCAGGCAGGCTTGAGCTCAAATGACTTCTTTAAGTCAGAGATGACTCCATGGATCATGATGGAAACTGAGTCACATGTGGGCTCCCGCACATTTCTAAGCATATTTCATGGTCGCCTATGAATGTGCTCTGCATTTTAAAGAGTGAGATCACACTGCAGTTGTGTGCTGTGAAACTCGTGCTTCAGCATGGTTTCAGTTGGTAGATGGTCCAAGTGCAGTTGAACAGGATTGCGTTTTTTAATTTGTTGCTTATAAAACTTTGTACTGTCAAGAAAATATCCTGTGGGCAAAAAAACACTTTATACTGACTCATTTGGTTAATTATCTACTGATGCTTTTAGTATTTTTCTTTTGGATTTTATAAATTCATACTGTGATAGGACAAGGCAATGCAGAGGTTTCTCCATCTTGGATTCTTGCTGGGGCCATTTCAGGTTTAACTAGAATTTGATCTTCTTCATGGAGAATCCCATGGAAAATTATCCAAATCTATTCTAGAAACCCAAGTCCAGGATATTCTGGCTAACTTAGCTTCTGTTAGACTCCTTGCATGTGCAAAACCTCCCCCTGAAGCTGCAGAGCAAGATACCAGGATGTGATTTTTGCTTTCAAAAGCCCCTTGCTCTAAATGTTTGGAGCTACCCTTAGGTTCCAAATACCTGAGTGTAGTCACGACATACTGGAATCAAGACTCTGAGTTGTGTCTGAGTGATCATCTCCGATGGGCTCCTTGTAAAAACAATGGATTCTAAACATATACCCAGTCTTCCTTGGTTTGGAAAAGTCAATCATTTTCAGCACAGATGGCTTGTCTCAGTGAGCCTTTGAATACTTTAAGTCCAGCCCATTTCTCAGATTGCTGAATTCTTCCCTTACAAGGCAAGGAGACATTTTTCACATTCTACCTTTGTTTCCATGTTCCTTCAATCACCCCAAGACAGAGTATGACCAAGAGGCAATGTTTAGCTTTATTTATTTATTTTTAAAAATTGTTTTCATTTTAATGATCTGAGTTAGTAACAAATATACAAAATTGTGTTTCGTATTTTCATACATGGTATAATGGACCAGTTGAAAATTCTGGACTACAAATGCAGGGTTCTTTCTTTTTTTTTGGTTTATTTTTTTTAATGCTTTATAAATAATACCATTCAAAATTTCCACTTCCTCCCCTCCTCCCATTTCTCTCCTGCTCCCCCACTCCTCCACCTCTCTCCCCCTCCAGTCCTAAGAGAGGGCAGGGTACCCTGCCCTGTGGGAAGTCCAAGGCCCTCCCACTTCCATCCAGGCTTAGGTAGGTGTGCATCCAAACAGACTACTAGGATCCCCCAAAGCCAGTCCATGCAGTAGAAACAAATCCCAGCGCCATTAGCATTGGCTTCTCAGTCTGCCCCAATTGTCAGCCACATTCAGAGTCCAGTTTGATCCCATGCTCATTCAGTCCCAGTCCAGCTGGCCTTGGTGAGCTCCCATTAGATCAGGCACACTGTCTTAGTGGGTGAACCAACCCCTCGTGGTCCTAACTTCCTTGCTCATATTCTCCCTCCTTCTGCTCTTCAACTGGACCTTGGGAGCTCAGTCCAGTGCTATGTGGGTCTCTGTCTCTATCTCCATCTGATGAAGGTTTTGTGGTTATATTCAAGATAGTCATCAGTCTGACTATGGGACAAGGCCAGTTCAGGCACCCTCTCCTCCACTGCCCAGGGTCCTAGCTGGGGACATCCCCATGGACACCCAGGAACCCCTCTAGAGCCAAGCCACTTGCCAATCCTAAAATGGCTCCCTTAATTAAGATATCTTCTTCCCTGCTCCCATATCTGCCCTTTGTCCATCTCAACCCTCCCACTCCCCCAAGCTCTCCCCAACCCTCCCCTTCTCCCTTCTGTCTTCCCCCTCCCCTTCCCCCTACCCCGCTCCCACCCTCATGCTCCCAACTTTTGCCTGGTGATCTTGTCTGCTTCCAATTTCCAGGAGGATCTATATATGTTTTTGTTTGGGTTCACCTTATTACTTAACTTTTCTAGGATCGCGAACTATAGGGTCAATGTCCTTTGTTTACAGCTAGAATCCACTAAAGAGTGAGTACATACCACATTCGTATTTTTGGGTCTGTACTTCTCACTCAGGATAGTGTTGTCCATTTGCATGCAAAATTCAAGATGTCATTTTTTTTTAAATCGCTGAGTAATATTCTAATGTGTATATGTGCCACACTTTCTTTATCCATTCTTCCATTGAGGGGCATCTAGGTTGTTTCCAGACTGTGGCTATGACAAATAGTGCTGCAATGAACATAGTTGAAAAAATGCTTTTGTAGTATGATTGGGCATCTCTTGGGTACATTCCTCACCAACCCCACATCAGACAAAGGTCTGATCTCCAAAATATATAAAGAACTCAAAAAACTAGACATTAAAATTCTAAATAACCCAATTAAAAATGGGGTACTGAACTGAACAGACCATTCTCAACAGAAGAATTTCAAATGGCCAAAAGATACTTAGGGACGTGATCAACTTCCTTAGCGATCAGGGAAATGCAAATCAAAACAACTCTGAGATACCATCTTACACCTGTCAGAACAGCTAACATCAAAAACACCAATGATAATCTATGCTGGAGAGGATGTGGAGTGAGGAGAACACTCATCCATTGTTGGTGGGAATGCAAACTTGTGCAACCACTTTGGAAATCAGTGTGGCGGTTTCTCAGGAAATTGGGAGTCAGCCTACCTCAGAACCCAGCAAATGCAGATTTCTTTGTATCCTTAGGTTTAGTTGTTTTATGTTTTATGTCCCCTCAGTGGTCATTAGCTTTATCCGTCTCTCCCTGATTTCCTTTCCTCATGCCCTCTACTCTCTTCCTCCCCTCTTTGTCCTCAAGTTTCAGGCCCCC